TGAGGTTTATAATCAATGCCGGTGGATTTCCATGGGGAGAAGGGTGGGCTGAGGTTATGCTAACAGTCTGATGTTTGTTAGTGGAGCTGGTGAGGCAGTTCCTCCTCACTATTAACCCCGGGGTTTATCGATTTCTTGTTGCAGGGGTTGTGTGCATGCGCGCTCACGACTAACACACACTCGCGGGCCGAGGCGAACTTATGCACACAAGCTTGTCACCCGCGTTAACGTCGAAGCGCTCCTCCGGGTCACCTGGGCAGTGGAGACTTGTCCTACAGTAGAGCTGTCAATGCCCGGACTTGGGTAAGTGGCTGCGCTGCTGCAATATAGTCAATAAAATCCCCTGCTATTTAACAAGGCCTCGCAACAGAGCCGGGTCAAACGCCTTTTCATCTTCTCCAAGCTTTTTTGTTCTAGCGTGGCCGGATCGATGGAACAAAGCTGTTGATATGCGAGCGACGACCCCGCACAAGCGTATATGAAAGAAGCTCAACGATCATATGTTCGTTCAATTGTGGTCAATGTGGTTAAAGGCACAGATAAAGCAGCAATTCTTTCCTAATTAGGAGGCTGGTCTTTTTTATCTGCTGCTCACCAAAACGTGTCAGCATATGCCAGCCCAAATGAAGCAGGCCACTAACCCATTCTGAGGTACAAAGCTTAAAGCTTTAATGGCCTAATCGCTACTTGAACCAGCCACGGGCACGGTGTGATTCTTGATTAAAACCTCCGATTGGTCCGACATCATATCGCCCAGATATCTGCCGCCGGTCTGTCATGTGCGTAGTGCTCAGAACACAGATAAGACCGGCTGCGCTATGTGATCTATAAATAGGCCTCTTTGTGTTTTATCCAATAAAGCTCCAAAGTGAGCGGCAATAAAACGATGCATACATCATTAAGCTATACGGCACAGGAGCCGGATGAGATGTTTAGATTCTCAACAGGGGACCGAGACTCATTATAAGATATTATTGCGTCTCGTCTCAGCCATGTCCAAAAGCGGTAAGTCTCAACCCTCAGTTTAATTAAACCAGGTCATATTCAATTAAAAAAAAAAACTGGACCAACAACTATTGCCACAAAAAAAGAAAAAAAAAATCAGCTAATGTTGATGTAATCACAGAAAGTGCTTCCCAATGGATGAGTCCAAAAGTTGCCAGAAGATCAAGAAGGGGGGTGACAGCGAACGGCCTGCCTGGAAACAAGAAGCCCTTCCCGGGGGCTGCAGAGTGGGCCGGTCCCCTCCCTCGAGTGGCTCTTTTCTCTGCATAGATTTCAGCCCTTTCATATTGTAATGGTCACGGTGGCCTGAGGCTGGGGCGCTAACCTTTTAGCTGCGTGGGACGCATTATTCCTGACACAATGGGCACAATCTCTGTCTCGTTGGCTAACACTCTGCTTTATATCTCTCTTTCCCTCTTCGTACCTCCTTCGTCTCCTTCCCCTCTCCAAGTCTCGGGGAATGCGAGTTTCCCTCCAGCGCTCTCTCCCCTCCCGTTTGTTTCTCTTCCTCTCTTTAAAGATGTATTATTCCTCCTCCCGCATGCTCAATTAAACTATTCCAAACCTCTTTTTTAATGCAAATTTCTAATATTGTAACAGCGTATGTAAATAGCTCGCAGCGTAATCAGCTGTGCCAAGTCTGTGCCTTCTGTCTCGGCGTGCTCCTTCTGACTGTGCACGCACCTGTTTGTGTGTTGGCGCGAGTGTTTGTGTGTTGCTGCTGCTGCTGCTGCATCCACCTTCGAGCGTGTTGCGCGACGGCTGCGTGAAGCTGCACACGAGGCCGCCATGGTGCTCGCCCGCCCTGGCGCTCGCCCGCAGGCTGCTCCGCTCGCGCATCTGTGCCGGTACTGTACGTCTGCCGCCGCCGCTACGCCTCCGCCCGCCCGCCCGCTCGCCGCAACAACCCACGAGGATAACTCCATTACCAGGCGCTGAACGTCGTGACTCCGGCGCTCGGCTTCCCACGGTCGGGGTCAAAGATTTAGAGGTGAAAGGTGGCGGCGGAGGAGGAGGAGGAGGAGGAGGAGGAGCGGTGTATAATATGTGGGTTTATGTTACAGCTGCTGCGGTAAGAACTGCACTGTAGTTTTACAGTCCTGCAGAGTCCTGAGGGGGGGCGAGCAAAGCCAACATCAAAGGCTTAAACAGCAGCACGCCTGTTTATGCAGCAAAGAGAGGAGGACTAGGTGGGCTAGTTAATCAGGGTACACACACACAAATGGGCCTGGATGCACACAAATAAGCGTGACGACACTACAGAGCTCTTTTTTTTTTTTTTGCAGTTACTTGGACTCACAAAAAACAAACATGTTCCCGCACACACACACATTCGCACAAATGAATCAAAGCCATTGAACCGGGCCTGCAGGCCCTGAGAAGTGGCCCAGGTGAGCTCTCTCTCCGAGCCCACTCCATTATGACCATCTCCACACATGCACCCCGGCTCGAGCTAATTAACGGCCTATTACTATGCAGATATATGCAGGGCCAAGAGCGGAGCGCGAGCAATAAATGGGCTTGATGAACGAGAGAGCAGCAAGGAAAAGAGAGGCGAGAGGGGGGGAAGAGAGAGGGCTAAGAGGGGCTGGGGCCAGGGGACGGAGAGACGGCTAAAGTGAGGAATGAGAGAGCAGAAAGTAATGGGCAGACAAGAGGAAGGTGGGAAGACAGGGAAGAGGGCCACGGGGCTGGAGGGAGCGAAGGGAAGGACGGCGGCGGGACAAGTGCACTTTACACTTATTACCAGCTGCTTGTAGTGCCGGTGACTCAGGAATTAAAGGCTGCCAGTTTAGAGTTTTGAACAGAATTAAGCTCCTCAGCCACACTGTCCTCATCTTTACGGAGTGAAATATGCGACGTCCGGAGTGAAGGAAGTCAATTCCGTGCACATATTTACCGGTGATAAGCGTCTCCGAGGCGCCCTGATTCTTTTTTAATGATGTTTAAATGATGTAAACATTAGCAGAGGAAGCGACGCAGTCATCAATCTGCGTTTGGCAGACGAAATACAAATCCACTTTAGCCGCGGACGCGTCGTCGTTTCAGGTGAATCGACACGAAGCGCAGATTCGTGAACGGGAGCGTGTGCCAGGTGGAAGACAGCGGAGTGAGAGAAACTCTGCCGGGCAGCGAATCCCAATCAGCGACTTCGGGGGAGCAGCCAAGAGTCATTTAGCGAATGACATTTTATTTATTTTCATTTAACCTTTATTTAACAAGGCAGGACAATTAGGAACACATTCTTCATTCATTATCAGGCCGATCTCGCCGCCGCCGCTCTCTCTCTCTCTCTCTCTCTCTCTCTCTCCTCTCTTTGTGTAAGTTTAAATGAACAGTTTCTCCGCTGGTACGAAGAGAGAAACACACAGTTTCAGAGTTTTTAAATTGATCAGCTAGAACACTAATATGACAGATAATACTTCAGTCAATCACAAACCCCTGTATGTGTGTGTGTGTGTGTGTGTCTGTTGTTTGGACATCTCAACAACTGTACACCCGACGTGCTTCTAACTTGGCGAGTCTGTCACTGGGGACCAGAGGACGTGCAGTGTTGGATTTGAGGCGGATCAAATGAACGGCGGCCGTCGCTGTGGCCTTCGGCTGCATGCGGACAGAACTCCGGTTGCTAGGTGACATCATCAACGGCAACTGTATGAGGTCATGGACGAAATTCTAAAACGGAGATTCTGTTTAGAGCTTGGTTTACGTAAACCGGGATTAAAATAGTCTGATTATGTCGAACTTGCCTTGTAGCACACCCCACAGCTCTTTTGGCTGCTTTTCGGCTGAGCCAAAACTTGCCCCTGTCGCTAGGCAACATCATGAGAGATAAATGTATGACGTCACCATGTGGAAAAAACTTTCTGCTGCCCATCAGCCGTACGTCACTTGAACTAAAACAACCACCAAGCTAGCTGCTAACTGAAGGCAATATAGTTGTTTATAGTGGTCACATATTCTCCTTTATACTTATTAAATACCAAATAATTAAAATAAAAAAAACAACCTAAACATCCTGGGTCAAGGATTGATATCTTGGGACCAGCATGTGGAGCATCGACACAAAGAAAGAGCTTCAGTTTGTCGTTTGGCTAAATCACAGAAGCGACACTAATTAGCTGAGAGTTGTCCTCGTAAGCAAACCTGACAACTAAAACAGCTTTCCTCTCCGTGGCTTCTTACACTATTTATATCATACAGCAGCTACTATAATTTTAAAAAAAAAAGAAATCTTGGCTCTTGCAATTTGAAAACAGCATTCTTAAAAAAAACAAAAAAGAAGTGTTGCTAATCAATTAGCTTTTCTACTCTATCAACTGTTATTCCATCATAATGCAGTATATGTTAAGCACCGCTTGTGACAATTTGAATGAATTGCTCTCTTCAGCAAATTAAAACAGTGCCTCCGATATAAAGGCTTTCCTTCCCTGCTCTTCTTTTTTTTTTTTTAAAGAATAGACATGCAGAGAAACAAACAAACAAACAAAACAAAGCATGTAAAAATATCTTTACACCAGTGCTGAAAAGCAAATCAGTATTCCTATACGTAAATTAGAGATAATTAATTTCCAACCAACATGACTGACGTGTTTTACCCTCCCAAGCTCGGCTGCTCTTCGACGTCTTGCATGGTTAGGAATCGATTTATTATTTCACTCACCAGTAGGCTCTTCATTGCTCCAGATTTAATTAACTAATTGATTTGTAAAAAAAAAAAAACTTGAATACATTGGATAGCGAATTAGCAGAGGTCGCGCGCTGTTCTCTCCGTTCCCCATGAAATGAGTTATTCGCCGGCCAATGTTTTTAGCACGACTGCTGCTTTGGGTAAAGAAGTACCGTCAGCGTTTTATTGATCATCGCTTTCCACCAATATGCATCTTACTGGGGGTGTAGCGTCATATTTGAAGCAGCATTACCGCCACCTAACTTGGAAACGCATACATTTTCTCTCCCTCTTGCCTCCTCGCTGAGCAAGAAACTGAACTTACGACTGGTGGACGCTGCAGTTGTAGAAGACAAAGTCCACGCTGGCAAACTTCTTCCCCGTCTCCTTCGACTTCAGATACAACTTTATCACGCGTTGGTCACCTGCAAGAAAACACAAGCGTTGAATGTTATGTTTCCCCCACTAGTCTCCCCTGACATCATCACTTACAACCAGCATCTGGATAAAGTTTCATGACTCCAGGATCATGTCCGGTCTCAGGCAACTTTTTCTGAAATGCTAGCGGCTTCATCGTACTTGTGTTTCCCCGTATAGCTGGCACTTTTGAGCCACAGTGGTTCTGCTGGAAAGTTAACAGAGCCTTGAGCAGAATCAATAGAAAGTGTTAGAGACTCGGTGAAGGAAACACTTTAGTCGTCTGTGTGCGTTCACTGGTTTTGACAAGTAAGTTTGTGAGCCTGCTAATTCCAATTTTGATAATTGCAAAGAAATGGGTTTCAATTAAAAAGGAAAAACTCAGCCGAATGAAGCGAACCCATTTCTATTTGGGTCGCATCAAATACTACTTTTTGAAAAACTGAGTCGTCTTACTTTCAAAACACACACGTTGGGTTCGGGTCAGTTACACATTCAGACAGTCGGTGAATCTAAACAAGGTATGTCCAGCTATTGGTAGGACTGATTCACTGCTACAGATATATGTAGCCTTAAAGTGTTCAGTATTAAATATTACAAAACCATTTAAAAACTACTACAAATAATTATAAGCAATAAGCCATGGGTATGTATGTAATGATATGAACATTATATTAACCTCCTAA